ATATTAAAATCACCTAGTAATAGAGAGCTATTATAGAGAGTAATAGGTAAGATATTCTCTCTTAATATAGTTAATATACTATTAGGGTCTTCTGGGTAAATTACATTATAGAAATTAATTAGCTGCATTTTTAGTACACCTAGACTTAAGTCTATAATTAAGTAATCAGGATTACTTGGTGAGTTTGAGGCTAGACTAGCTTGCAGTTCGCAAGCTATATAAAATAGGGTTCTAGGCCTCAGGGTACCGTAATTCGGGAGTATTTGGAAATAGCTAGAGTATATAATAGAATAATATTCCCGATTATTATTCCCTGCTATTACCCAAGGCTCCTGGATTACTAGGACTTTAATATCCAGTTCTATAGCTATTTGCAAGACGTTTTCAGTAGTAGAGCTATTGCGATTCACATTAACTTATAGTACTTTGACATAGCTACTCATTAATAGTAATAGTAGGAATTATAGTAGTAGTAGCTTTTTTAATTACTAAGTAAACCTTATATAGCTTAGAACTAGCTAAATAGGCAGTACTTAAGTAATTAGAGCATTTAGTAGTTATGTAGGGGCATTTTTTACTCTTCTTCTTATAGATAAAGCAAAAATAATTCTCAGTCACGTGACCCTTACTATATAGTAAGCACTTAGGTTCCTTTTTGCAAATAGAATCTAAGTGCCCGTACCCTGCATACCTAGTATACTATATAGTACTAGAAATAGTATGGTATTTTACTACTTTAGCAGAGATCCCGGCTATAAGAAGTCTATTTTTAATAGCTTTATTAGCTTGAATCTCGGTAGGGAATGCCACTACTACTGAACCGGCTCGCTAGAGGCCTGAGTCTCTTTTCTCCTTAGAAGTAGCCCAATAGGGCTGGCCAATAGGCTCTAGTCCCTTATTAAAGGTCTTGATTTCTTCTAGGACTAAGTCCATTCCTTTGGGTATATCGAACTCACGAATAGGTAGACCGTGGATAATAACTTTATACCAAGGTTCTCCTTTTTATACGCTTGTAACTAAGGGAAGCACCCCCTTTATAATAGCTTGATTTTGAACCAGAAAGTCAGAGTTAAATTCGGGAGTAGTATTAACTATAATATTACCCTTTGAGAAAAGAGAAACCATAGAGATTACTAGTCCCTTAATTCTCTTAGAGCGGAAAGCAGTATTAAGCGAATTGCGAGTTGAAATAGGAGAGAACGAGCTAGCCTGCTCTATATGAGCTAGTAGGAAGGTGCATTTCCTAGAGAGGGCTATAGATCTGGTGTCACGAGCACCAGAACCACTAGTGTCACGTGCACTGGGTGGTTTATTAGTGCCACGAGTACTACCGCTATTAGTAAGTATACTAGGGCCTTTTCCTCCCTGATTTTTAGACTTAGTATATAATACTAAAGTCTAGTCCTTTTCCGAGTATAATTCCGAGTATATTTGTGGTTCTTAAGTAGCGATTTTAGCCCAAGTAGGCTTTTCGGAGGTAGTTTTAGCTTGAGTAGCTAGCTTGGCTTAAGTTCTTGACTGAATTTCGATCCGTTTAGTGGCATTTTCGAGATTTGCTACCTGTAAAGCTAGTAAAGTACTAGTATAGCGGATACGGCCGAATTCTGTATATTCCCTGAAGATTTCTACTAAATCTAGTAGTCGAGATTACTAGTCATATAACGGGGTAATAGTAATGGCTTTAACTATTAAGTCCCGGGCTTAACGAATTAGTAATTTAGCTTTATTCAAAGCTTGATTTTGGTATTAGTAATAGTTTCCGTGGTTTTGGTATTCCTTATTAATATCGCTATTAATATCGCTCGCACTAGGGCCACGCTTTAGCCCGTTCTGGAGGCGGCTCAGTCGAGCCGCACTAGCTAAATTAGGCTAAGAAAAAGGGGCTGCGAGTTCGTCTGAAGAGATGGGATTTATAGCTAAATCGAATGCGAATTAAGCTCCCTGGCTAAACCGGGCTAGTAGGGAGCTAGTGGGTAGCTCTAGTTCCTCGCTAGGGCCCTCTGGAAGCTCTCCGAGCTCTTGAAAGTCAATGGGAGGGGGGCTGGAGCCCGGGGGGTCAGGGGGGGCCATTTAGCCTGTTCTAGCTCTACTTATAGTAGGTTCTAGAGCCTGGGGCCAAAGGGCTGAGGTGTATTGAGTGAGTTCTGAGGGTGGGTGAAGTGTGGGTGTGAAAGTAAGGGGGGTAGAAAAACCGTGTATGTGTGCCTGGCTCTAAATATACTTAATAAAGGCTAAAAAGATATTAAAGTATTATATATTACTTTTTCTTTAGTTAGTTCGTTTTATACTCGTTTAATAAGTAAAGAGTTATTTAAATAATTAAAATTTAGCTATTATTTACTTATTTAAGAAAAATACCGGATATTAGACTTCTATACTAGCTATAATAAGGCCCAGATAGCCCTGGATCTTATTAAAGATTAAATCTATTTAGAGTTCCGAAAGTAAGAATAAAAAAGGCCAGATTAGGTCTATTATATTATAAATAGCCTTTTTAGTATTAGGTTAATATATCCGATATCTTTAAGTAATCTCTTTAGGTTATAGAATAAGCTATAGGAGATATACTTATAGGATTTAAGTTTATTATAGCTTCGGAATTTGGTATTTTCTATAGAATTAAAGACAAGTATATTAGAATTTCTTTCCTTTATTATAATCTGGTTTTATATCTCTTTAGTATTATTAATATTCTCTTATAATTATTCTATTACTAAAAGCTCTTTATATATAATATTAATATTTATTTTGGGAGAATAGATTACTAAGAAATAAGTTTTGAGATATTTAAGAACTAGAGGCTTATAAGTTATAAGATTAGAATTTTTTTTAAAAAGTTTTCTAATTAATTAGAGTTTTACTAGAAGAAAGAAAGAGTTCTAGAGAATAAAAGATATTTATTTATAGTTATTTAGTAACTAGTAATAAACTAATATAAGAGGAATTAGTATATAGCTAAAATATAGAAAAGTTAAGTTATAAAGTTTTAAATAAAAAGCCTCTTTTTTTAATACTATTATATTTAATTTCTCTCAGATTTTATATAGGTAAAGTACTATAAAAAATTAAAGTAGAATATAAAAGCTTTAAAAATTACCCGGAATTATTAAGAATAGAATTATAGTAATTATAGCTATTTTATTTAGGAAAATTATATAAAAATTATATATCTAAATAAGTTTTCTTATATTATCTCTCTTATTTTCTACTATTTATAATTAGAGTACTTTTTTAATACTAATTATATTTCGAAAGAACTCGAACTTATTTCTTATAAGTAGTTTTATAAGCCCGTTTACTAGTTAAAGATTAGTAGAAATATATTTTAGCTCTACTTATTTTACTATAATAGCCTTTTATATTTACTTTTCCCGGATATTAATATACTTTATTTAAATATAGAACTAGTTATTTTTTATAAGTATAATTACTCTTTAGTTATTATAATATATAATTATAATAACCTATTTCTTCTAAAGGGCCTGGGCCAGAAAACGGTTTAGCCAGATTACTTCTTTAGCCGCTTATATCTGGGCTATAGTCTCGGACTTATAAGAGAAAAGAATAATAGTATTTTGCCTTTTTAAGAACTAGCTAATAATACTACTATTTATATTAAAGACAAAACCGCTAATTAATTATCGAATATTTCTATTACCTATCTAGTTTATATTCAAATAGCTTATTAATACTTAAAGGTCTCTATAATATATAAGTTAGTATATAAATATATTTTATAAATATTATAGAATTCTCTTTATTATAATAATATATTTGGCTATTGAATTTATAATAAATTAACTAATTATAGATAATATAAAAGTAATATCGGAATAAGATCCGAGTATAATATATATAAGAGAGCTAATTAGCTTCTAGTATTTCTTAATTTCGAATAAAGAGGCCAGGTAACTTTTTAGTATAGAAATGAGGTTATTTCTATTTAGATCTATTAGAGTTATAGCCGGTTTATAGTTTTCTATACTAAAATCCCGGAATACTTTTATAATATAAGACTATTATTCGAAGTAAAATATATAATTTGAACGGTCTTATATAGTATTTTTTCCGGTTTTTTTACCTCCCTTACTTTTATACCCACACTTCACCCACCTTTAGAACTCACTCAATATACCTCAGCCCTTTGGCCCCAGGCTCTAGAACCTACTATAAGTAGAGCTAGAATAAGCTAAATGGCCCCCCCTGACCCCCCGGGCTCTAGCCCCCCTCCCATTGACTTTCAAGAGCTCGGAGAGCTTCCAGAGGGCCCTAGCAAATAGCTAGACCTACTTACTAGCTCCCTACTAGCTCGGTTCAGCCAGGGAGCTCAATTCGCATTCGATTTAGCTATAAATCCTATCTCTTTAGACAAACTCGCAGTCCCTTTTCCTTAGCCTAATTCAGCTAGTATGGCTCGACTGAGCCGCCTCCAGAACAGGCTAAAGCATAGCCCTAGCTTAAGTAATATTAATAGCAATATTAATAAGAAATACCAAAACTATGGAAACTACTACTAATATTAGAATCAAGCTTTGAATAAAGCTAAATTACTAATTTATTAAGCCCGGGACTTAATAGTTAAAGCTATTACTATTACTCCATTATATAACCAGTAATCTTGACTACTAGATTTAGTAGAAATCTTTAGAGAATATACTAAATTCGGCCGTATCCGCTATACTAGTACTTTACTAGCCTCTTAGATAGCAAACCTCGAAAATACTACTAAATAGATCGAAATTCAGTTAAGAACTCAAGCCAAACTAGCTACTCAAGCTAAAACTACTCCCGAAAAGCCTACTTGGGCTAAAATTACTACTCAAGAACCACAATCTTACTCGGAAAAGAACTGGACTATAGTATTACATACTAAGTCCAAAAATCAGGGAGGAAAAGGCCCTAGTACACTTACTAGTAGTAGTAGTACTTATAATACTAATAAACCACTTAGTGCCCGTAATACTAGTGATTCTAGTACTCGTAATACTAGCTCGAAATCTATGGCCCTCTCTAGGAAAAGCACCTTCCTACTAGCTTATATAGAGCAGGCTAGCTCGTTCTCTGCTATTTCAACTCGTAATTCGCTTAATACTGCTTTTTGCTCTAAGGGAATTAAGGAACTAGTAATCTCTATAGTCTTTCTTTCCTCAAAAAGTAATATTATAATTAATATTACTCCCGAATTCAACTCTGACTTTCTGGTTCAAAATCAAGCTATTATAAAGGGGGTGCTTCCCTTAGTTACAAGCGTATAAAAAGGAGAACCTTAGTATAAAGTTATTATCTACGGTCTACCTATTCATAAGTTTGATATACCCGAAGGAATGGACTTAGTCCTAGAAGAAATCAAGACCTTTAATAAGGGACTAGAGCCTATTAGCTAGCCCTATTAGGCTACTTCTAAGGAGAAAAGAGACTCAGGCCTCTAGCGAGCCGGTTTAGTAGTAGTGGCATTCCCTATTGAGATTTAAGCTAATAAAGCTATTAAAAATAGACTCCTTATAGCCGGGATTTCTACTAAAGTAATAAAATACTATACTATTTCTAGTACTATATAGTATACTAGATATATAGGATACGGGTACTTAGATTCTATTTGCAAAAAGGAACCTAAGTGCTTACTATATAGTAAGGGTCACGTGACTGAGAACCATTTTTGCTCTATCTATAAGAAGAAGGGCAAAAAATGCCCCTATATAACTACTAAATACTCTAATTACTTAAGTACTACTTACTTAGCTAGTTCTAAGCTATATAAGGTTTACTTAGTAATTAAAAAAGCTACTACTACTATAATTCCTACTATTACTATTAATGAGTAGCTATATTAAAGTACTACAAGTTAATATAAATTATAATAACTCTATTACTAAAAACGTCTTATAAATAGCTATAGAACTAGATATTAAAGTCCTAGTAATCCAGGAACTATAAGTAATAGTAAGGGATAGTAATAATCGGAAATATTATTCTATTATATACTTTAGCTATTTCCAAATACTCCCGAATTACGGTATCCTAAGGCCTAGAACCCTATTTTATATAGCTCGTAAACTGTAAGCTAGTCTAGCCTCAAACTCACTAAGTAATCCTAATTACTTAATTATAGACTTAAGTCTAGGTATACTAAAAATATAGCTAATTAATTTCTATAATACAATTTACCTAGAAGACCCTAATAATATATTAACTATATTAAGAAAGAGTATTTTACTTACTACTCTCTATAATAGCTCTCTATTACTAGGTGATTTTAATATATATTATCCTTAGTAGGATCCCCTTAAACCTTAAAATAGTTATATAGTTTATTTAATTAGCTATATAAAGAACTATTCTCTAAGGCTATTAAATAAACCAGGGAAAGGTACCTTCTATAGACCTAATATATCTATTTCTTCCGTATTAGACTTAAGTTTTATTACTAGTGAAATAGTAACTAAAATTAAAGACTAGTAAGTACTACTAGACTTAGGTTCTAATTACTTTGGGGTTCTATTTACTATTAGTAAGTCGACTTATAGCTCTAGTTCTAATCCAGTCAGATTTAATACTAAGAAAGCGGACTGGACTAAATTTACAAGCTACCTTATTAATAGCCTTAAGAATATGCCCTTTTTACTTACTAGTATACCTGGAAATCATAAACTAGACCTATTAGTAAAAGACTTTACTAATAGAATAGTAGAAGTAGCTAGTAATAGTATTCCAAAATCTACTACTAGTCCGTATTCTAAACCCTAGTATACAATCGTATAAATATAGCTTCTCGTACTCTAAAACTCATAGATCATGGTACTCAAAAAGCCACCAGCATAACCTATATGTATATAATATCAGCCTATAAATGCTGTCTGTCTCTGAACTCCGGTCGAATTGGTGCTTATAATGTATCCTCTCCTGGGCCGAATCAGCTCGGCATGATCGCTTAATCCCGATTGCCTGTTTCCCCGGGGACCCCCGCTCAAGCGCGACGCTTCTTCACCTAAACATCCGATCTTAGCCTTACGCTTAACTCGAGGGACCGATTTTGGCCCGGATCACCCTGCGATTCACCCATGAGATCAAGCGAGGCGATCCCGGAGACCTGGTGCGAGAGCGCTCGAGAACTTCAATACCCTTCCCCCGGCGACGGGCCCCCAGTCCCCCCGGGGTAAATCGGACAACGATCGACGACTTGAATATCAGTCCAAAGATCTCGGACCCCCGGTTTCCGCGACTGCCACATAGCTCCACTGAGCTCCCCACCACACTTCACACCCATATTTTTCGATTCCCCCATCTTTTGGCCTTTTTTTCAACAAAAAACCCTTCTTTATCGACAAAAACATAAAATCTCAGAATAAATATCTCTCATATAGATTTTCCGACAATCTGAATACCGATATCTTATTCATACATTAAATATATTCCAGAAATTCAGGAAGTAAAATC